TTTTCAGTGGCTGAGATATATTCTTTTAATTTATTTAAACTTTTTATTAAAATGATGAAGATGAGATAACAAATAAAAATGCTCAATCTCTAATATTACAAGTGCAAGCAGAAAATTACCAGGAAAGTGAACCTATCTTTCTTTTTCATTTTAAAAATGTTAGTAAATATTTAAAAGCACATTCTAGAAAAATAAAAAATAAGTGAACTAGAAAAAAAACTGCAAGCAGTATAAAACTAAGCAAAAAAATTGAGGTAACTTTCAATGAATGCTATATATGAAATTGAATAGTCAATAATAAAGGAAGCAGGTGTAATAAGTATCAAAAGCCAAAATGAATAATTTGGACCAATCTTCTGAATGACCCACTACCGTGTTTTCCCCAAAATAAGACGCAACTGGAAAATAATCCCTAGCATGATTTTTCAGGACACTCGTATTATAAGCCCCACCCCAAAAATAAGCCCCAGTTAAGATTGTCAGACAGACAGACACATTTAGTACCGTATTTTCCCCAAAATAAGACCTAACCAGAAAATAAGCCCTAATGCGTCTTTTGGAGCAAAAATTAATATAAAACCTGGTCTTATTTTGGGGAAAACATGGTATTTGAATGATAAAGACATTGACTGGTTTTTACTGGTTATATAATTGTATAAAAAAGATAATAGTAAGAGGGGGATTGAAAAAAAAGATTATTCTGTCTTTTTAGACATTGGGTTAGTTCATCACATGCCTTAGTGGGTCTGTTGGAGTAAAAAATAGAGTTTCCACCTGATTGTTTGCTATACGTAACATCAGAAGGCACCCCTTTAGAAATTGGGTAGGTTGCAACTGAGGAACAGGCCATTTTCAGTAGTTGTATTATGGTTTTGGAGTAACCTTCTCCAGTTAACTTACCTTTTTTTTTTAGTAGTCAAACAAATGAAGATTGCCTTCTCATTTTTCTGATATTGTTATATTCCCACTTATGTAGTTAGTTTTATCTGACAGAGACCATTATTCAGTTTATTCTTATCAGTCTGCAAGATGGAACTGAAAGAAAAATAGGGAAAGAAAAATAGCTATGCATTGTTCAGTACAGATAAAAAAAAAAAATAGTATTCCCTCAAGGCTCCAGAATGCTGAATAGCAATATTCTGTCTTAGCTTCATGGCCAGTTGGATCTCCATTAAGTGACATAAAATGGTAGGTTCTGCTTCAATAGAAAAATGTACTATGGGCATCGACATTTATTTTTATTATTTTTTATTTATATCCCACTTTTATTATTTTTACAAATAACTCAAGGCGGTGAACATATCCACTACACTTTCCTCCTCCTGTTTTTCCCACAACCCTGTGCGGTGATTTGGGCTGAAAGAGAGAGTTACTGGCCCAAAGTCACCTAACTGACTTGCATGGCTAAGGTGGGACTTGAACTCATGAGCTCCTGCTTTCTAGCCTGGTGCCTTAACCACTAACCAAACTCTCTTTATCTTTATTTTTTAATTTTAGGTGCAAAATTCAGAAAATATGTTGGCCATTCTGCTCATGTTACAAATGTCCGCTGGTCACATGACTTCCAATGGGTAATCAGTACGGGAGGTGCAGATCATTCTGTTTTTCAATGGCGGTTTATTCCAGAAGGTGTAACAACTGGAATCCTTGAAGCAGCCCGTATAGGTAAGATTTTTAGAATGTTGAAATACGATTGAACTAAAAGGTCCTAATTTCCTTAAATGGAAATTTTTAATCATTAATCCTCCAGAATACAGGTAGTCCTCTACTTACAACCATAATTGAGTCCAAAATTTCTGTTGCTAAGCGAGACAGTTGTTAAGAGAGTTTTTTCCCACTTTACGACCTTACTTGTCACAGTTGTTAAGTGAGTCGCTGCAGTTAAGTTAGTAGCATGATTGTTAAGCGAATCTGGCTCCCCCATTGACTTTGCTTGTCAGAAGGTCACACAAGGTGATCACATGATGCAGGGGCACAGCAACAGTCATAAATATGAATCAGTTGCCAACTGTCTGAATTTTGATCACGTGACCATGGCGCTGCTGCAATGGTCATAAGTATGAAAAATGGTCGTAAATCACTTTTTCAGTGCCATTGTAACTTTGAACGGTCACTAAATGAACTGTTGTAAGTCAAGGACTACCTGTACTCAAGTCTAACACGTACATTGCCTTTTATTTTAATCTCTACTCCCCACTTGGAAATTTATGGAAAGGATCACTGAAAAGAGAATGTGCTTATTTAAGATTGTGCTTCGTTTTCATTTTTGGCTTAGTTCTGTATATTTTACTGTCAAGTGAAAAATGTTCACTATGTCCAAGGTCGTTTGCAAATGTTTTAACATGTCAGAACTGAGATTTTTACATATCTTTCCTGGCACTGAGAATTATTTTTAAAGAATTACTAAATAATTAATATTATTTCATCCATTCTGCAGATTGTGGCATAGATTCCTACAGTGAAGAATCAGATTCTGATTTATCTGATGTGCCAGAATTAGATTCAGATATTGAGCAAGAAGCTCAAATCAATTATGTTCGACAGGTGAGTAACATTGCAGTATCATATCATTAGATCAGGAACAGTTGAAATGCCATTGCATCATACTAAAAATAAATATCTGGAAAAAATACACCTGTTTGATTCAGTGACATCTGTAGGGAAGATAAAATAGCCAAGATGGTATTTACACTATTGTAATTGAAGTCTTGTCTTTTTTAAGTGCATACATCATCCATACCAAAAATATAGGGCTTTGATTATGATGCTACATCCTCCAACTTGTTTCCATTGTTTTCACACATAAACATGCATTCGGACACTGTTTGGCCCCATGATTACAGAGCAGATTCATACTGCCCCCTCCTGTGCACATTTGTTCAGCATTGTCAATGGGCAGAGAAATATGTTAAATAAATACATTCTATGTAATTTAAATCAGAGGTTCCCAACCTTTCTGGTTCTACAGAATGGTGGAGGCTTTGGTGGTTTCAGTGGCAGGTGGGATGGTGTCGCACGTGCAACCTAAATCCCACACATGCACAAATGAAGCGATCCATGGTCCAGGGGTTGGGGAACCCTGATTTAAATAATTATTTAAATATAAACATAAAATTGACTATGTCAGCAGCATTCAAGGAAAACCAGTTGAAGATGTTTTACAGATGGCATCTTTCACCAGCAAAGCTTGCCAAGATGTTCCAGAACAATTTGCCAACATGTTGGAAATGTAAAAAAGCACATGGAACATATTATCATTTATGGTGGACATGCCCAGTTGCAAAAAAATACTGGACTAAAATAAGAAGATGGATGGAAGAAATAATAGACCAACCCATAGACTGGAAACCAGAGATCTTTCTGCTGGGTATTTTAAACAGAAAATATAGTAAAGAAATACGGTTCTTAATTCTACATATAACAACGGCAGCAAGAATAGTATACACACAGTTCTGGAAAAATGAGAATATACCATTAGAGGAAGAAGTGATAAAAAAAATCCTGGACTGTGCTGAGATGGACAAATTAACAAAAGAGATAAAAGAAAAGGAAGATACAGAGTACTATCTAATATGGAATAAGTGGTATGATTGGTTGGAGACTAGAAATAATAAAGGAGAATAAATGTGGAAAGGTCAAAAGTGGAAAATGTGTGTATAATAATGTATAGTAATAATATGTATTATTTTTAGTATGAGGTATAGTATGAAGGAAGAAAAATGTAAACAAGAAACAACGGGACAACAAGGACAAATATATCTAAAGAAGAATAAGGGGGGAAAATGTAAATAATAGAAGATTACCGTTACGAAATTGCTGTTAAAAAAAAGGAGGAGTATACACTGTGTGTATGTGTGTTATGTTTTGTTGTTTTAAAAAATATTTTTTTTAATAAATAAATAAATATTTAAATTATTTGATAAGGACGGTTGCAACATATTTGTGTTAATTAGATGTTGGGCCATCTTTTTTAGTGTAAATAAAAGATAAACATGTATCAAGAAATCATATAGGAATCGTGGTCCTTTATCAGTGAAAAGCTCAAATTAATTGAATAAAGTTCCTAGAAGGAAGCAAAAGTGATCTTAATGTTAATTATGATCCAATGATTCACAATGATCCTAAATGCCTTTTTCCCAGTATATTTGGTGAAGCTAGAAATATATTGTTTGAACATCCCCTGCTACATATTTTATGTAAAATGTTTTGAAGGATATAAGAAAATATATAGATAATGTTTATCCATACTGATAACAACAACAACAACAAAGTTGGAAGGCACCTTGGAGGTCATCTAGTCCAACCCCTTGCTCAGGCAGGAAACCCTATACCATTTCAGACAAATGGCTGTCCAGTGTCTTCTTAAAAACTTCCAGTGTTGGAGCATTCACCGCTTCTGGAGGCAGGTTGTTCCACTGGTTAATTGTTCTAACTGTCAGAAAGTTTCTCCTTAGTCCTAGGTTGCTTTCTCCTTGATTAGTTTCCATCCATTGCTTCTTGTCCTGCCTTCAGGTGCTTTGGAGAATAGCTTGACTCCCTCTTCTTTGTGGCAACCCCTGAGATATTGGAATACTGCTATCATGTCACTCCTAGTCCTTCTTTTCATTAAATTAGACATACCCAATTCCAACATCCGTTCCTTATATGTTTTAGCTTCCAGTCCCCTAATCATCTTTGTTGCTCTTCTCTGTACTCTTTCTAGAGCAGTGATGGTGAACCTTTTAGAGACCGAGTGCCCAAAAACCGCCCGCCCCCGCCCCCGCTCCGCTTCCCACCCTGCCTGCTCCGCCCACCTGCAGGGACACGCACCACCTCCATGGCCCGCAGCAGATCACCAAGGCAGCCCCGCAGCACCATGGCAGCCACGCCCTCTGACCACACTCCGCAGCATCATCTGCATGCAATGGGGCACAAGGGCGGAGTCTTGCCCCTGCTGCCCGGCTATGTCCTTGGCTGCGCTGCTCCATGTAGGCCACATCCGGGGGCGATTCTCCTCCAGGGAGGCTGCTGGTGAGAGCCACGGGGGGAGGCGGGGCTGGGGCGACAGCACGCATGCCCACAGAGAGGGCTCTGAGTGCCGCCTCTGGCACCCATGACATAGGTTCACCACCACTGTTCTAGAGTCTCAACATCTTTTTTACATCGTGGTGACCAAAACGATGCAGTATTCCAAGTGTGGCCTTACCAAGGCATTGTAAAGTGGTATTAATACTTCATGTGATCTTGATTCTATCCCTCTGTTAATGCAGCCTAGCACTGTGTTGGCTTTTTTGGCAGCTGCAGCTCACTGCTGGCTCATATTTAAGTGATTGTCCACTAGGACTCCAAGATTAATTTAAGAGTAAGTCAATTCAGTCCATAGGTACCATCACACACTATATACTTTAGCTTCTGAGATGGGTTGTGGATATAATGATTTAGAGCAAAAAATATATAATTACTTTCTATTTCACAAGAAATATTTTGTTCTGAATAATAGCCTCACATTCTTATTCCAACCCCTTTCCTCTGCAGAAAATTTTCCTGAAAGTTCAGAGAGCCTCCATAAAAATTTCTGCAATTTAGTTAGAGAACTAACATTTTTACCTATTAACTATATTTCCATATAGTAGTTAGATGTAGGTAAACAGTGTAGTAGAAATTCATAAATTGTATGTCTGCTTCACAATTACCTTTGAAATATATTTATCAGTATTCAATTAGTGCGGAAATTTAACTATATGTCTATTTTGTTTTTTATTCTCATGCACATTTTTGTGTGTAGTTTAGCTTTTTTTGGGAGTTTCTATTTTAATGTTTCACATAAAATAAAAAATTGAAAAAAAAACCCAATTTCTTCTTTTATGTCTAACTATATGCTTGACACAAGACAAGAGCTTCAACTTTCTTTTTATTTTTTTATTTTTTTCTCCCCAGCTAAACATTTGGGTTACAAGTTTCATTAAATAGATTCAAGCATAAATTGCTTTCGGAAACTGGTTTTTATATTAGTGGAAATTTAGCGTCTGTATATAACCCTTGGGAAATTACAGTGTTGTTGCTTGGAAGAGGACTTCTTTGATATACAAATGACACTATTCCCCAAAAGCTGTCCACTCCATAAAAACCTTTTGCTGGACTCAGTATTTGTTGATCCAGTTCCCCTTCTCCAGAATTCTAAGGGATAGGTTCACTATTTGCAGATATAGATTATTGCTTACCATTTCCAATTGGAAAATTAAAGAATTGTTGTTGTTTTTTCAAACAAGCTGATTACATAGTATAGCAGCCTTCCCCAATTTGGGCAAATTCTATCCTAGAAATATTAGACTACAGCACAATAAGGATGAGAATTATGAAAATTGTAATCTAATACTTTTCAATCATTAGAGTGGAAAAAGATATGATACAGGATAATGACAAAGATCTTTCAAATTACCAGCAATAATACCAGCAAACAATAAGAAGCAATTTGAATTACTTATTATGAGCTTATAATTAAAAAGTAATTTTTCTTTCTTTTTTGCAGGTTTACAAAGAAGATCTACCTCAACTGAAACAGCAACGTAAAGAGAAAAGCCATTCAGTGCCCTTCCTTAAGAGAGAGAGAGCCCCCGATGACAGTTTAAAGCTGCAATTTATACATGGGTATAATAAATTTTCAACAATAACTTTTTTGGTAGTTTACAGAAAGAAAGAGATAACCCATTCTTAAACAAAAATAGTCTTTAGATTTAAAATCTATGCCTGGAGTTAAGAAATGAAATGGGTAAGGTGAGACACTCTGATTCTTACATTGGAGAAAGCTATTTAGTAATCAAGGGTAGAGAGCTTCAGGGCTGAAAACAAAGCAGCCACAAATCCATTAACTCAAAGAGGAGGGAGGAAGAGTCTCAGGATTTGAACCTACAGAGTGCTGTATATCAGGCAGGTTTTCTGCATGCTGATTCGTGCAAATCTTCATTGTGGATAGGGCTTCCTGATTCTCTATAATAAAGTTACCTATGTATTTTGTTGTGCCTGCTTGGGAATGCAGGGCTAAGAGAAAGATGGATATATTATGCCAGGTATAAAACCTTGTTGATAATTATAAATCAAGGAATACTGATTTTCTGTTCAGATCTTTGCCTTTGGTTATGGCTTTCTTCCTTCCTCTTTCTTACACAACACCAAATCTGCTGTTGACTTTGAAATAAAGGTAAGTATGACTGCAACACAGTGTTAAATCTGAAATGGTATAGGTCTCCTGTTTGAGCAGTTGGTTGGACTAGAAGACCTCCAAGGTCCCTTTCAGCTCTATTCTGATTACAATTGAAGAGTTGATCTGTTAACACAGTGTTCATTGTTGTGGTATCAGCCAGCTACTGTACATATTTTCCCCCAATCCCCTTTTTGCTCACTCTCCAGCAATGTATATTTCCTTAGAATGTTTTTTACTAGGCTGTATTTGAGGTTCTCCCTGTCCTTTTAAGATTTGTTTTAATGAAATGATTATATATCCTTGTCATAATCCTTCCAAGTTTGATCATTTCCCTTATGCAAAAAGACTGTACCATTCTCAGTACAAAGCCATTACTATTTTGGTCATTGACCACTATTTATTTCTTTTATTCAGTTAATACATTTTAATACAAATAATGCAGACTTCATATTAACTTCATATTATTCAAATATAAACTGAAATAAATTCTGTTTTTAATATTATTTAAACACCAAGTATGTCCCTCTGCTACTTTGAGCTTATATCATAATATATAATAGTTTATATCCTAATATATGGAGCATCATCCCTGCAAAGATAAGATTGATAATCTTTGATAGGCATTGAAGACATGATTTTGCCAGCAGGTCTGATATAGAGTGCATTAAGTGGTTGTTTGATTGTTGTCAACAAGGGGATGAGGGTTTATTGGGTTTTGTATCAGAGGTTTTAATTCTGCAAGCTGCTTGGAGTCACTGTGAGTGAATTGGCCATATAATTTCTTGATGATAGATAGATAGACAGACAGACAGACAGACAGACAGACAGACAGACAGACAGACAGACAGACAGACAGACAGACAGACAGACAGACAGACAGACAGATATTGATTAGAAATAAGCCCTTTTAATTTCAGCAAAATATGATTCAATATAAATGATAACACTAAGATCACAGTACATGTTCCTTTGCTTCCTCAACTAACCAGAGTCTTGTTGATTTATTTACCTGTTGATTTTTTTTTCTATTGATTTCAGTTATAGAGGCTATGATTGTCGAAACAATTTATTCTACACACAGACTGGAGAAGTGGTTTATCATATTGCTGCTGTTGCTGTGGTGTATAATAGACAGCAGCACACCCAAAGACTATATCTTGGTCATGATGATGACATCCTCAGTCTTGCCATCCATCCTATGAAAGATTATGTTGCTACTGGGCAGGTGAGTATGTAAGAAACATGATCACTGGCAAATTAAAGTTAAAAATACAGATTTTCTCACATACAGGATTCAATCCAGGAAATGAAATGCTTGGCACATATTTATAACAATCCAAATTTTGTGGACTGTAGTTCAATTAGTTAGATTAATAATGGGTTTCCAACTGCACCAACTGCAGTTATGGCAGTCTATTCCTCATTTAAAAGGACATCTATCAACTATTTATTTATAGTCTCAGACCAATAAAAATATAAATACAAAATTTTAAATATAAAAATATCCCCGAAGTTGAAACAGTAATGAGAAGAGGGTATCATCTGGTTTCTGCAAGCCATAACTATTGCTAGAAACTTGGTAACCTTTGTAGTTGTTGCCCAAGTTAAGTCTTACAGAAGGAAGATTATACTTTCTTGATCAGAGAGATAGCTAACATTTCTGACCATGTGGGTTTATGAGTGCCAGATTCCATGAGTGTTACAATGTGTAGTGTTATAATGTATGGATTATTGATTCAATTTTTGTATCTGGGCAAACACACATCCAGTTATTGTACAGGAGAACTAGTACATTTGCCCATAAAAAGCAATGCTCCAATTCAGGCCAAAGTAAAACTTCTCCCATGTATAGAATATGTGAGCGGCAACTAGGAATCATCAATGGAAAACTTGCAATTTCAGGAAACCAATTGTTACATTGAGGAATTGTAATTCAATTGAGAGGCTACCGGTGGTTCGTTGAAACCCAAGTAACCCTGCCTAAAGTTGAGCAGGCAAATCAAGCAATGCTAATAAGCATTTCTGTTGGATTTGGAACTACTTTAAGCTAAGTATTGTATCTATTATTTCATGAGGAATAAAACCCTCTGTTTTATTCCTTCAATCTATTATGTTCCATCAAATATAAAAAAATTCTGTAAAAGTCACACTTGATTGGAAACATATCTATCTAGAATATATTATATAGTTAATCCTTATACATAAGAACTAATTCCCCTAATCTGCCTATCAAAATAATTAAAAGGTCAGAGAAAATTTTAAGGGTAATACTCTATGCTTCTTGTCTCCTGATAAAACAGAGGTCTCCAACCTTTCTCAGTTGGCAGACTGGAGGGAAAGGGAGGGGCCATGAGCGTGCACGATGCAAATGGGGCGGTGCTAGTGCCTGCATGACACTCGTTAGTGCCGCCCTGTTTTTGCCACACAGCACTCTGTTTTCACCACGGTGCCCTGTTT